ATATTATCAAGTTTTACGCCCTCAGATACTTAGTGTACCGACAACTATTTGCATAAAGCTCTAGAATTTTATGACGAGAATATTTTATTCAACCCAGTAAAAACGGCTTCGTCGAAGCGATTTCGGTATAAAACTTTAAGAAAATATATCAAAACATAGTATCATCGAATTAAATCGGCTTCCTAAGTATTGGTTAATGATCCTCCTATGCACATGCATATGCTATTCGACTCAAATAACCCAAATACCTCTTCTTGTCTTTTATCACGACTTATAATGTTGAGTAAAGTCGTACTTCATATCGAAGAAACTTAGGTACATCCCTTTCTGCTTCTCAAAATCGTTTTCTGCATCTTTACACGCTTGCATGACGGGGTCACGTTCTAGCAGAGTGTCAGGGTTGCTATCGGACACACGTCGAAAATTGCTCTGGGAGATGGGATCGATGACCGTCTTCCACTTCTCAACCCGTTTCTCGCTATAGAGATCGAGTATCGACTCGTCCGCCTTTCCGTCCCAAATCCCCGAGAAGCAATCATATAGACCGCCAACGTCGACGAACCCCCCCGTTATTCCCATCCCACCCCAGGGGTTGCAAAGGTGCGCGGCGTCCGCGGCAAGTAGAATTCGACCCACGCGGAACTTAGGCGCGCAACGTTGGTGCATTTTATACGGCGACATGTTGATCAGCTTATACTCGCCCGGTTTCGGATGGCCAGGCAGCATTAACTCGAATTTCCAAGGTTGTCGCTCTTGCATCTGTTCCCAGGTTAAACCAGGAGCTTCGCCGTATGTCACTCTGTACATTCCATCTTTCGTGAGCCTGGCTGCCATCTATATAGTTCCATGTGAGTCTCTTTCTTCGAAACTGCGCCCCTATTCAGCTTAGGGAATAACAACTCACATAGAAATGATCGGGGTGTAGGATGAAGTTAGAGTCCTTGAACCCGAACTTAGTGAAATCGTAGTAGATCTGAGTCGCTATTAGCCATCATGAAGCGAATCTATCACAAGTTTGTGACCCGGCGATTTTAGGAATTTGCAACATACGTTTGTTGCTACGATCTGCCTCTCCCAGGTAAAGCCGGGATACTCATCGCCAAAGAGAGATTTCCTGACAGCGCTTCCCGCACCATCACACCCCACAACGTAGTCTCCGTAAATTCTTTTCTTACCCTCAGGGGTTTCAACGTCTACCCAAGCCTGCTTTTCATCTTGACCTGTGCCAACAACCTTATGTTTCCAACTAATCTTGCCATTATACTTGGTCAAAAACTCCTCGAGCATCAGCTCGTCCAGTTGATCCAAGACCAGACAAGCCATACGCAGGTCTTCGCCATTCAGATTTTCCAGGACCTGAGCGTCCATCCCTGTGATCCAACTGTGATCCTCGAATCGTCTCCAACACATGGACGTCGGGCTCATGCCCCGCCTGCGGATCTCATCAATGACTCCCGCCCGACGTAAATCCGGGATGGCGGGAGATCCGTAGATTGCTGCGCGCGGCTGCTTGTCCAACTCGTGGGACGCTTCTAAGATCTCCACCGGAATTCCATGCTTGGATAGGAGGAGTGCGAGTAGTAGACCCGATGGCCCAGCTCCTACAATAATTATCTAATACCATCATTCACGTTAGTGAGAGATAATGTCATTATAAGAAAGAGGGAGGATTATGTATGATCATAATCAATCATATATCTTAATGTTATACCTTTTCAAATGGGCGTGACATGATTGACGAATAACTTGTTTTTGCTTAAGGTGTCGTGGAGAGGATTAATCTATAACAAAAAGACGCGGGGTGCAGCAAGATAAACACCTTGGTTCATTTTTGGATACCTGAGTCCTAGGTTGGTAATCCGTTCTTGGTATTCACTAAAACACTTGCCCACGTGAGTATTACTGACCTACCTTGGTCGGTATTTAAAATCCGGCTTTGGTGAGTGTTCGTACACTTGCCGAAGCCATAGGTCGGGTTAATAAGATCGAGCCGAAACGCTTCCCCGCAACCTCCATGTATGGTGGAGATAGCTCCAAACTTAGCTGTGTTTGGGGTACGCCCCTGGCAGGTTCATGACTTCGCGGCAGCCGGTTGAAAAGGCTGAAAGATGATTGTACTAATCTTTACAATGATGTCACATCCACATAGCTTATAGAAGAGTAAAACGAGGCATAAATACCTACTAGGCATGCGGAAAGTATTTACCTCTAAAAACCTGTCTCTGCCGAATATTCGATGACTTTACAGTGGGTTGATTATCATGCCACGTATATCCGGAATGAAGTCAGGTGTGTATTAGGCATGCATTTCTACGGAGGCAGTTGGCTTCTAATCCGATGGTTATTTTCCGTATAGTCAAGACCCTTTGGACGGTCTTTCCGTGTAACTAAGCTAAGGCAAGTGTTGGGGTATGTATGCTTGGACTTCTGCGGCCGTATCTTCTAAAGCTTGTATTTTTAGACGTAGTTGTCCTTATATTAAAATAAATACCTAAAATGGCCGCTAATAATCAACTTGGTGATATCGTAAATAAGGTACTAAAAGGACAAACTGGCGATCATTGGTATACTTGCCTCTTCCATCCACCTTCTGCTTCAAATATCTCCCCTACAGCTTTAGAAACTTCGAGTAAGTGCCTATCGCGATATCTTGGCGCGACCAACGATAAGCCTACTGGTAACCCGTTCTCGCCCTTAAAACCCGGTATGTTTGTTACAGGTGTGTGGAGGGCCTAAAACCATTAATGAGAAGTTGTTCTGTCGGCAATTAGGGATCGCAACTTACCGTCCAAATAGCGTTGAAAACTGGACTTCCAGTAGTTTCCCTACCTACCGGAGCTTCATCGACCACGCTTGGCGTGAGAATAGCAGCGTACTTGCTAGCGATCTCGTCAATCTTAGGTCTTAGAGAAGCAATACCATCAAATGCTTCAAGTTGAGCCGCTCTCGATATGTTGAACTCGTTTTCAACGTGACCAACCAGCATAGGCGCCAGTTTATCTTTTGAAATGCGATACTCGGGCAAAAAGGTTGCTCGTCCATCAGTTCGTAGCACAACGCCGTGCCATTCCGGTAACTTATCAAACTCAGGAGGTAGCTCGATCTCTTCGACTTCTGCCCCGTGGTCTCTCAATAGTTTTGCGCCTGCCTCCAATGCCGCGATGGTTCCGGGACCCGCCTGTGGCCATACCATCGTCTTAAGGACCGCGAATTTTGACCCCTTGATTGAGAAGTCGTTACGCGGAGAAACGTCATCATCAAGTTCGAAGACATCGGCCAGCAGTTGAAGGTCGTCTACACTGCGAGAGAAGAAGCCAATCGTGTCTAGAATGAGAGAGTACACCTTCAGACCCTCACGGCTGATCGAGTTCCACGTAGGTTTGAAGGCATATACGCCATTAAATGAACCTGGACGAATGGTGCTTCCACCTGTCTGTGTCCCTAGGCCGATTGGTGCTTGAAAGTCTCCTACGGCAGCTGCAGACCCAGAAGATGAGCCGCCAGGGGTACGCATCACATCGTGGGGGTTCCTTGTTTTAGGGCCCGTCGTAATAGATGCAAACTCTGTCGTCGTTGACTTACCTAGGTACCTGAAATTAGTATGCGGACTCTCTAAGCTGTAATATGCGAAGCCAACTCTTACCAAGAATCAATGCCCCTGCGTGGCGCAATGTGATGATGGATGCAGCATCGAGCTGTGGCTCGTCTCCTTCATAAATCGGAGAATTGTGTTGAGTTGGCATACCTATGAAAAATCAGGACCATTATCTAGAAAAACATGAAGATGCTCTTAAAGTTGATACCTTTGGTGTACATTATATCCTTTACAGCAATAGCCACACCGTGCAGAGGACCTCGCTGTTCCGGCGATACACCATCGAGTTGCTTCGCTTGTTGGATCACATAGTCGGGATTAAGATATGCCCAGGCCTGGACAGCAGCATCCCTCTTTTCGATCCGCGTGAGAAGAGAGCGGGCATACTCCTCAACTGTTAACTTGCCATCTTTGATCTTGGCGAGAGCTTGTGTTGCCGTTAATTGGTAAGGTTCCATTTCAAAGGTTTCGCAATATAGTAGCTATAGTTGAAATACGTCTTTCGCTTGTGAATAGCGATTATATGACGCGATCATATAACGATGTGAGTAGATTCGCTCTGCTCTGACATGTATAAGATACTATTGGAGATACCTAATATCGGGTAGTTTCTTCTCTTCCCGACCGGAATCGGAATATAATGAACAGTTGGATCGGAATAGCCCCCCACAGATAGCCGGATAGGTTCGGATCAACCCGAAAATACCACCCTCTTAAGTAGGTACTCATATTGCTTGATTTTGATAGCAGCCACATACATGGATGAACAAGACAGGACGGTTAATATATGGACAGGTACCTAAGCGCTCATATAATACCTTCGAGTAGTTCGATGAATCTTGGCAATTTGCCCAGTGGCACGAAATGGGTTGAAAGATCACAAGGCAGTAACAACGAAGCTGAAGATGTGCTTATTGACAGGTAAATACTTACTTGGCATAGTTTTCGATCGCCGCTCTGCAGCGGCGCAGAATCAGGAAATGACCTTAGGGCGATTTCTAGCTTCAGAATGAAGCTAGAAGTTGTGAATCGTTGACAAAGTTCGTGGCTCACAAAGGCTAAACCTTAAGACTTCGATGTGGAGTACTAGTAACCTTCGAAGTTTGATCCTAACCTGTGAACCATCAAAGGATTTTCATTCGAACCTTTAGGAATGGATTTTTCCTTCACATGAAAATTCGTTTCAATTAAGCTGCCTTTTCAGCTGAAGCCTCGAGAGATAAAAATTGCAGGAGAATCTCGGACCCCCAAACGAAATTATTGCGGAGAAAGAAAAAAACTCTTTCAGACACTAGCCCCCGAGATATAAGCTATTATAAGATCCGGATTTTTCCAGCAACAGATTCCAGAATAGTCATTGGCTAGGACGGAATCCTCCACCACTCTCTGAGAGGTCAAATAGAATTCCTCCGTGGCGCAATTGGCTAGCGCGTCTGACTGTTACTTGTGTCAAACTTGAAGCAATCAGGAGGTTGACAGTTCAAGCCTGTCCGGGGGAGGGAAAAACATCTCGAAATTCTTTTTTATTTCACACGTAACTGAAAACGGATCGATTCAACTTATAGGTACCTCTTTAATGAGGCCTTCCGAGTGAATACCTACCAATGTTGCAAAGGGTGATGTGAGGGGTGGTGCGGGGTTATTACACACAAAAAAAGGACAACTTTTTAACATTTAAAATGGCAAAACCGGACATTTATTTTATTACATAAAATGTATTCAACAGAAAAGAAAAATAACAAAAATCGCAAAAAAATTGAAACTAAACTCCCCCGGACAGGCTTGAACTGTCAACCTCCTGATTGCTTCAAGTTTGACACAAGTAACAGTCAGACGCGCTAGCCAATTGCGCCACGGAGGAATTGGATTGCTCAAGAATCTAGACGATTTGAGCTTGATTTGCGAATCACTAGGTCCGCTTATATGATGGGACCCTTGCTAGTTCCACTTTCGAACCTTGAATTGTCCGAGACTCCGACCTACCTAGTATGGATGCGAAAGATACTAGCACCGGCTTGTGACGCTTCCTCGTGCCTGTGGCACTGCGCTTTAATTAAGGAAACGGGCAACGATTCTTACACGGCCCGAGGTATCATATCTCGTTTATAATGTTGATAAAATATGTTGCAAGTTTCAAGTGATTATGTAATATTACCATGTCCATGTAATAATATCGGTGGCGTTTTTCAACCACATAAACCACGTCGATTTCTATTGCTTGTGTGCCCGCTGCCTGGTAATCTTTTATCATTTAATATTACATTGATTAAATTGTTTAAACATTAATGAGTTACTTCTAAACAAATTACCCTTCTCGTTGCAGAAAAGAGACCGCTGCTTGATATACGCCTTATAACCTCACATTTCAAACCTCCTTTTTTCATCATGAATTTAACACTCAATCACTATCAAGACACAGTAGGGACTGCTAGTATCATCCAAGAAAATCAGGTTATTGAACCCTCGCAAATAAACTTGCGAGGGGTACAAAATTTGTCCAAAAGACAACGGTCTACATCACTCAACATCCCTACTTCTCCGACTACGAAACGTCCTAAATCTTCAACCCATATAACCAAGTCTATTGAACAAATTTTACCACCTTTTTCGGAGACCTTTAAGCGAAGCGCCCGTCAACGGCTGTTACCGCTTCCCAAGAACCACACCGTACCAACAGTCATAAGATCCCCGCCGAGCACGTCCGCGGATACGGCCGAAACCCTACCAACAAAGCCTCAACCAGCCACTCCTTCAGAGGCGCTCTTAGAATTACCTACAAAGCTACAGCCGACTACACGCGTAAGAGAGCCCTCTGCAGAGCCCGTCAGAGAGACTCAACCGGTTACTCCCGCAGAGACTCCTGCAGTGCCTCCCGCACTCATTGCTGAACGTCCTCCACCATCAGCCCAGGAACAACATCCCTCTACTGCGATTGATAGTGCCGAACTACTATCAGAAGGGGAGATTACGAAGCATCAGTCTAGATATATCAACGATTGGATTGCCAAGTGCCACGATGCAGATCAAGAAAGCGTTCGATCCAACAACATATCAGAAATGTCTCTGGCAGACTCTACTCAGTCGCCGCCGTCTGAGCTTTTAAGCGCCAATATATACGAGAATAGGATATCCCTGCCTAATGATCCTCGATATCGAATTTTTCATCTCACTAAACTTGGGATTAAAATGATAAAGCCATCCATTTCTCGCATGACCCCAGAGTGGGTTGATAAGCTCACAGAGAGTTTTGCCGTCAGCCGTGAAGACGAATCGACAAGTAAGACTATGTCTTTCGTTAGAGAATCTCATTCAGCTATCATAGAGGCAAAGACTGCCGATGAGATGGAGCAACAGGAGCTCGTCTACGAAAGGCTCCTCGCCGGCTTACAATTAAAGAATGAGGCTGGGTGGACGAATTGTCTGATGAGGGAGAACGTGCGGTATAGCCAAAATACTCTCATCCAGAACCCGACAAATCCGAAAGCTCTCATGGCCATCCCGAAACCTGCAATAACTGTTGGATATGGCACTTCGGCACTCAAGGAAGTCGACATCCCATACACCAGTAGCGAGCACGTATTCACTATAAATAGCAAGACCACGGTACACACGCCTTTCCTGCTCGCGGAAACTTGCGCAGACTCGACGTCCTATGCTACGATAAATCGTATGCTTGGTGCCGCCTCGGCATGCCTTAATATCAATAACCGGGTACTAAGCTTTACCAAGAACGCTGTCTACAGCCTTGTTCTGTACGACGCTTATACGGAATTGTTTGTTTCTTGGATCGATCCCAGCACTAATCCAATTACTTATTGTACCAAGTTGGTGAAGTCCTTTACGATGCACGAAATAGACGATTTCATACGCTTGCGACGATATGTCCACAACATCATCGACTGGGGGGCCGGTAGTCGGCTTTACGAAACAAGGGCTGCATTCGATGCTGGGTTGCCGCCACATAGAGTTGAGCACCCATTAATTATGCTACCTCCACCGATGCCAGCATCGCGACAGCAGCCGCGCCCCTGGGTGCCGGTGCCAGTACCACAGCCACCGTCCTGTCAGCCAACACCTCGGCAAGAGGTGTCACTCACTGGGAGACGGCCACCGTCGCCATCACCGTACGTCGCCCAGCAGCCGGCATTCATGTCAGGGGCACTATTTCCTGAGCAGCAGGCATCTAAGCCGCCGACGCCTATGCAGCAGGCGCCGATAGTCCCTTCGCAGCCAGTGTTTCACCCTCAGCCATTAGCACCATATGCTGGACCACCAAGACAATTTACCAATCAATTATTACAATATTCTAACTATGATTATGGTGCTGGTCAGCTGTAGCCGTTCCCTAATCAGCCAGGGTATAACAATAGACAATCGACGCAGCAGCCGACACTGGTCTCCAGCAGCCAGGGCTTTATCAATAGCCAGGATCTCGCCCTCAGCAGTCAGGACCTAGTATTGATTAGCACTACCTCGGTAATAAATAGATATTTCCAAACAATCTGTAACCCATACTTTATACTTTTACTCCGAGTTTACAAAGGGATCTTACGTCAAAACTCCGGTACAGCCAGATTTCTTTTCAAAAATTCTATAGGTATCTTAGGGTCCGATATCTCCAGCCACTTATCCCCGGATATCACATGTTTCTTTAATTGATGATTGGGTGCAGCTTACAGGGGTCGTAGTTTTTAGCCAATGAAATTAGAAGGACTCCTGCTCCTTAACGTATCTCGAGGTGATCCGCTCGAGGAATCCCTGTCATGGACAAGAAATCGAATACCTTCGAGGGCTTTCGAGAGCTTTGACAAGACTTCTTAAAAAGGTAATACCGACAATTCCGGGGTTAAATCCGTATAATTCTAGCTATCTCCGGTAGGTGTAACGGGGGTGCCACCGGGCCGGTAAAGCAACTGGCACGCTGTGAGTAGTGGTCCACCAGCCCGGCAGCTGGCAATTTAGATGACGGGCGGTCGAACCGTGCTTATATATCACGTGATGAAGGTGTAGTGACTAGCGCGGGGCTAAGGTGTGGATGCACCCAATCATCAATTGAACCATGGATTAGCGTGGCGCTAGCTTATCGATAAAAAATTCAACGATCTGGACCTCGAGTGCGCGTAAACCCAATAGTTGCCTGATTTCTTAATTACCTAGGTACCTACCTACCTAGCTGTTAGGTACACGGAGCAGCATACCGTGAACAAGTTGCGTAGCTATCGCACCTTGTTTGTCGGAATAGAGGGCGGTATGATCAGATCCGACACGCGGAACGCTCGCTGGTTGGCCCATATGGACTCAACCAAAAGCGCCTGGCTCGAGTATCGTTCTCGAAGTCGCTAACAAGCATAATGTAATAGTTGAATTAAAGCGGATCGACCGTCTGTCGGCCAGGAAAGCCACTCCGCCGCGAGCATATATATCGTTCCCATCAGCCTTAACTCTGCAACTGTGCCGACTCGACTAAAGACGCCTGGCCTCATCGAAATGCTTCGAAGTTACATACAAAGTAAGAAGGCGCTCGTCAAGGCTTCGCGAAAATGTTCTTTCATGAGAAATCTATTGTCGGCTTTGACACTACTTTTGGTACAAACACGCTTTAGACTCCTACATAACTACCTAAAAATAATGGATAGCGTAGATGGATAAAATTCCGGTTAAATGTGAAAGTTGATGATGGCGTCGAGGCTTAGATCCCGTTAGTTACTCCACTAGCAGGCATGCTTTACTGATTTCCTTCGCTGCAGGAACCCCCGCACCTCGCCAATCACGCTAATTGCAAGCGAAGCCCAGGACCTTTTAGGTATTAGATGTACCTACAACATTGAACCTCCTAAGACATCACCTCGAATTATCCGCCAACCGACATTCATCTTTCTTAAACATCTCAATAGCTTCTCCTCACGATGCTATGAACATGGGTCTTTTTACACCAATGTGAGGTACTATACGCGCTATAGTCAATTCAGGCACCTTAAGACTTGGCAATCCATCCGATCTTACGTAGTATTCCCGTTATTACATGGCCTTGACATATGCTCAATGAAGACATGCAGATGAACCTAGCTGAACAAGGTCGACTGTTCCGTGTCTACGATGGCGATTTACTTTAGCTCTCCTACTCGGGTGCATTTCCCGGATGGCACCGAAACCGATTTATTGGTACCTATATATTACTACCATCGTTTTCTTCCCGACTCACAATGTCTTCCTATCCATTCCCGTCTGCTCGTACTTAAGACAGGCGAATCGAGAGAGCACTCTGTTCTATTGAGGGTTGGACCTTCTGACTCCATCAATCATGCGACTCTTACCTCTAAAACGTCATCCTGTAGTAGCAGCAATCGGGTTCGCTCCACTTGTGTTTGCTCTCGGACAACAACCTATCATTAGCTTCAGTGACAGTGCGGGAGCTTTTCAAGTAGCTGGTGGTCCAATTGCTCAACCCCAGATTCTCGTTTCGAGTAATGAATTTTGGGGGGTGATTCGAGCGGCTGGC